CCCAGAATTCCCCAGCCAGCATGGCTGCCTGGGGAATTCTGGGAGTTGAAGTCCACCCATCATAAAGTTGCCAAAGTTGAGGAACACTGACATACAGGTAGGATACATATTAGCATGCTCAGAGCACCCCCAGATTTGTAGAAGGCCAAGGACAATATTTAAAGAGTTGGGAGAGGAGAAAATATGGGAAGTAACTTGCCCACTGCCCACAAAAACTAAGAAAACAATCCTGTGAGGATTCAACATACTTAAAGGAGTACAAGAAGAAAAAAAAAAGAAAATTGGGAATGGAGAATCATGGTACAAGCCATGATTGGTTGACTTACTTCCAGGATGGAGGTCTTATTCTTCACCTCTATTTAGTTTTCAGTTTCAACCAAGGAAGATGACCACCAGTGCTAGGGACTACCTATTGCTGAATCTCCTTCCTTCCTATCAAGCTCGCAAGGATCTTGGCTAACCTGGTCCTTCCCTGGTCTTCACCTGGGCATCCCAAATAAACTACCTCAGTGCCAGTCTTTCAGCTTTCTTTTCGCTAGTCCCCCAAACATTTAGATACTTCTGGGAGGAGTGGCATAATTTATTTATTCATTCATTCATTCATTCATTCCATTTGTGCGGCTGCCCATCTCACCAGGTGACTCTGAGTGGTGAACACGATTTAAAAAATAAAAACAACTGTAGCCATACAAAAATTAAAACACATGGTTTTTCATGCAGAAGATCTCAAGGTCAACTCTGGCACCGCCAGCTGAGATTGAGAAGACTCCTGCCAGAAGCCCCCAAACACTGCTGCCTGTCACACAACTTGGGCTACCTGTACCAACAGGTTGACAATCAACAGTAGCTTCCTGCGATGCTGTGGGACATACAGATCCCAGGAGAGGGATAACGCCAATTGCCAGAAGCAGATATGGAAAGCTCAGCCATGTTTGGCAGCAACGGGATTGAACTCCTTCTTTGAAAGGGAGAACGAATTTTAACGAGAGGACTGCTAGGCATCCTTCCAGTAAGCTTTTTTTTTTAATTTAGATTTTTAGACAAACGTAAAGCTGCTTTGAATGTCAACTTCTCTGTATGCCAAAAGGAAAACATGAACGATGAAAAGCTGCTCTTACAAAAACTCAATGCATTGCAGAAACCCAGAATGGCAGCAATAGAGTTGCCGCACTTTTCCTTATCCGTCAGATAAAGGCTCTTAAACCCTTCCAATAAAAGCAAGCTTTGAAAGGATTTACTGCTGCTATCGATCAACAAGCGGGAGACAAATAGACTCTCCTGTAGAGTAACAGCATCAGCTAGGTTCTGCTCAAGTTCAGCACCAGCTCTCCAAACAGAGAACAAAACAGGGTTGGTTTTAATATCCGTCTGTTAGACTCCTAGAACAAATGGTGAATATTTCATCAGTGGGAGCTATCATGGTGTTGATGCTGCCCTGGCTGGACATGGAAGAGCAGCTGCAAGTTTGAAGGGGAAAGGGAAACCAGTGCAGGACTCCTTAGACCTCTGACTGATTGCCTTGGGAGAATCTCCTGTTTCTATATGCTTTGCCTATAAGCAAAGATCAACGTTGTGTCTGATAGCTAGTGACTTTGTGGCTCATTATTTTGTTGCAGGAATAGAAAAATGGCTTGTGGTTTCCTTCTTCCAGAATGTCTCTTCAACGTCTGCTCTGGCCAAACCACTGGGACTTCCTTTAATTTTCCAAGGCCAGGAAATTGATTGTCATCTGCCTAGGCTGTGTTATTTGACTGCTGTGATTAAAATAACTACATTTCTCCTACAGGAAAATGAACAGTGGCATTAAGGTATCTCCTGGCTGAGGGTAGACTTAAATCAGCATAGAAGATGTTGAGATTTAAATGAGAGACTATAATTTCCACATGGAGGCTTGTGTGTTGCTCATATTACAGGACAGGTGCAGAGGATTTTGATGTGAAATGTGGAAAGGAGCATGGAGCTCCTTTTAGAGATCTTCTGGTCTTCTCCCTTTCCACTACTAACCAGGCCTAATTTTCCTTAGTTCTGAGCCTCAACAAGGTTGGCCAATGAGATCTCCCAGGCTTAGAACGGACAGTTTGGCTTCCTTTAGACAAGAGACCAGTTGAAATGTATTGTCTATGATAAATATATGTATCTGGGTGCTTTTGAGTCAGTCTTGACTCCTTCCAAGGGCTGAGAAACAGGACTGGCCCAAAGTCATCCAGCTGGCTTCATGCCTCAGGTGGGACTAGAACTCATGTTCTCCTGTTTCTAGCTCAGTGCCTTTTAACCATTACACCAAACTTGTTCTCATTATAAAGACAGCGTACTGCAGGTTGTAAAGACACAATAGTGCTCCCTTGTCTAAAGGAAACCAGACTGGCAGATCTCATTGATCAAAGGAGTGGGAAATACATAACAGTATAAAACAGCCTTTCCCAACCAAGTACTCCCCAGGTGTATTGGCTACACTGGCTGAATATTCTGGGAATTGTAGCCCTAACACATGGACGGTGGGAGAGTGCCAAAGGAGAAACGGCTGACAGAAACACAGTCCTTTGCAATTAAATGCAGCCACGCTCCAGGAAAGTTCACATTTTTCATTTCCTGCAGGAAGTTGTTGGATCCATGTGTTAGAACAAGTGGAAGTCAATAAAAGTATTGCCCAAGGGACAACATTCAGAGTTAGCAATGTTGACAATGGCTTCTGGTTTCGTAACATAAAAGTTCTTCCAGCAGGCTGGTTGAACTAGTCTGGTGTTCTTTCTCTTTCACCTTACAGCCAGGACAAAACCAGTTTCGGCTTAGATGGATTGCAAACTTACATCCAAGTCACTGCTTTGATAGCTCTACGTTAGGCACCCACTGTGTGTCTGTATGGCCTGTCTGCACATTATCTCATAGACAAGCAACCTTTGATACTGTGGTTTCCTCCTCCATAGCCCTGTCCTGTTTATTTCACAGAAGAAATGTCCTGTCCCAGCTACTACTGTGCCTCCATATGCAGAGATGGGCTGTAGGTTGTCCTATTAAAGGCATGTTGATGTAGCTGGGACCTCTCATGTTAATCACCCCAGTGTTAGCTCAAGTTAGCAAACTCTTGTTTTCCATGGGCAGGAAATTCCAATTATTTATTTTAAAATGTAACTTTCATGGCCCATTTCATGAATGCTGTTAGGGTCTTACTGTGCATCCTGCACTCAAATCAAGCTAATGAACTAGAGGTGTATTCTCACACCACCACCACCCTTCTACTAGTTTTCTTTCAGCAGACTCCTAAACATACCTACAAGTACTGATTGTTTTTTCATCTCACGTAAACCTAAAATGGAGTTTGGAGATTGCCTGCTGGATTAACATTTTGCAGTAAGACATGGTTTGTTTTAACGGTAGTTTGTCATAGTTCATTGATTGACAAACGGATTGATTTGACCTATATACCTCCTTTCTGTGACGTCGTTCTTGCCCAGATTGGAACACTCAAGTACTTATACACAGACTAAGATACTCCAGAAAAATATGCATCTATGTGAATAAAATAGAGGGTCTCTGCATTCAGACATATCAGTAATTTCTACTCAAGGAAAACTGGTTATGTAAAAAGATTGAAAAGGAAGGTATTAAATAAAAAAGGGGATAGGATAGGTAGACCCCAGTTTAAGAACGACTTCCGTTCCCACAGTCTGTCCTTAAGTTGAATTTGTACATAAGGTGGAACAGTATTATTGTATAATGCTGTAAAAGTATATTGTGTAATGAATTCGAATCACTGTGTATTTAACTCAAATGCTGCTACAATAGGCTCCGTTCTTAACTACAGGTCGTCCTTAAACTGGGCATTCTTAACCCAGGGACTACTTACATACACTACAAATTAAGGCAAACCCTTCAGGGATTATGCATTACTATTTCATATGTATTGGGGTGTTATTGTTATTTTATGTTTTTAACTGCTGTTCACTGCCCAGAATCACAACACTGAGATGGGAAGCCATATAAATTGAAACAAATAAATAAGTAAGATCAATTTCAACAGAAGTGCTGCAAACCATAATTTTGAGTTACTTCATCTCCTTGCGTGGACCCCAAAATGCTTAGACATTTGATCTTATTTCAGATAAATCCTCAATTGCAAGTCCTTTCTTT